AGTTATTTTTTAATAACTGTTTTCAACTCTAAAATTTTTGTGGATTAATTTCAGAATTATCAAGTATTGCGTATAAAGGGAAATCATTCACTTGAGGTGAACCATTTGTTAAAGGAAAAATAAGTATTGATAGTTGCTACATATAAAAGTTTTACAGAATTTAGAAAAAGAAGTTATTGCATAAATGTAAAATAAATTATAAAAATAATCGAGAATTAAATGCATTATGGAAAAAGTATGCATTCTCAAATAAAGATATGTATAAAATTGAGATTAATAAGAATCATAAGATAGATGAAGTTCGAAGACATTATATTATTTTAAAAAATAAAAATTTGACGTTTTATCTTCACTTATATTCCTCTATAGTCACCCCCTGTACAATCACATCATATAAATCCCCACTTATAAGCACACCTTTCATGAGGACCAATACTTAGTAATACTATATAAAAATCCCTCTATATGGTTACAATAACACCTCTTATTTTTTGTTTCTATGGTCTCGAGGGGTGTGCTTGTAGAGGGGTCCACTGTACATACGTTCGTTAGATACAATATATTGAGAGGATTGATTAATATTGGAGTAAGATAATGAGAGTAAGGAGAATTGTCAACAGAGTTAACGTCATTAGATACAATATATTGAGAAGATTGACCTGATAATGAAGTAAGAGGAGAATGAGAAGAAGTGTAAGGAGAAATATTGCCGGTAGCAATAGGACTAATAAATTTATCTTCATATGATTCTGAGGAGGTTGATTTAATAATGGAATAAGAGGAGAATTATCATTGCTACCAATAGATTCATTTGTATAGATGCGATTTTGGAAATTTTGATTTAATAATGGAGTAAGAGGGAGGATCAAAATTAATATCGGAATTAAAATCTCCAGATACAAGATATCGAGAAGGTTGACCCGATAATGGAGTAAGAGAAGAATAAAGAGAATAATTATTAAGAGAAATGTTGTTATTAGTATCAATAAAATTAATAAATTCATATTCATTTGTATTGACATAATTCTGAGAAGATTGATTATTTAATAATGAAGGAGAATGGGAGAAGTGTAAGTATCATATATTAATTTTATAAAATAGGTAATAAAATTAAGCGTGTTTATATAGATATCCTTAATATTAAAATGATAAGAAAAAATAAAAAATAAAGATTATTATAATAATTCTCTTTTTTCCCCTTCTCTTCTTCTTTCGATCTCATCCATGTATGTAATAACACGAAAAAAACTCTTCTGTTCTCTTTTTTTCACCCATACATTCCAATCATTTAAACATTTAAACATAAATAAAATAAATTTAAATGTATAACATATTTTTCTTGTTCTCATTCTACAGTTAAGGTGATGTCTATTATTGATTCGTATAAATTATAGATTATCCAATAAATTATAATATACTAATTATATTATACTGTATTTCACATAGAACATTAATAAATTATACTTTAAATTATATATAAAAATATGTTGCTGCATAATAAATAGTATAGTACAGTTTATTCGGTGAATTATTTGTGATAGATATGATATTTATGTATAACTAGGAAAACGAACCGTTGTAAGTCCGGACAATACAGTAAATGAAAATTAACGACCGAAGCAAATCTACAGGTTTATGTTTTAATATCTATTATAAAAAATTATACATACATTACTCATAATATTTTATATACATTTAGATTAGAAAAAAAAAAAACGGAAAAAGTTTTCCTGTTTCTATTTATTATTATTAATAATACTTTACACGTAGTGTGAGCAAATATACATAAATACATATGAACAATATATGATAAATAATGTTTCATTCATAATTTTACTTTAAAATTACTTGACATTAGGTTTGGATTTTCTTCATTATTTGGCGTAAGTATAGTCATTTAGTTTTTCGGACTTTTATTTATTTTCACTTTGGCATTTATTAAAGTTTGAATTTTCCGATCTACAATCAACAATAAACTCTTTTTTCGGGAAAATGTTTTTATATAGACAATTTACAGTAAAATAAAATTTTAAATTAGGCTTGCATTGAAAAAAGAAATCAAATTAGAAATTGTAAGTTAATTCACGAGATCCCAGACTATTATATTTTTCGTTTTTTGTATTTGTATACTGTCTTCTTTGTATATTCTTCGCATATTCTTTGCGTATTCTTTGCGTCTTTTTCCTCCTACTATTTGCATTTCATTTACACATTCTGGTCTTTATACGAAATACCACATCTTTGCACTTATAGTCAAGTGACAAAATAGACAATTCCTAATCCAAACAATAAGTAAAAATGAAGGTAACAATTGTTAGCGAAATCTTAGATATATATGAATGCGTAAGTTAGGTAATCCATTATAATTCATTGAAATTGAAACTTTAGCGACATTTATGGAATATGGAAAGATGATGAAAAATATTCTAACGATTTTTATTTTTTTTAAAAAAAAAATCAATAATACTTATATAATTTATATAACATATATCTAAATTTCTAAATTTTCACTACTTTATTCTTCCTGCATATGCATATACATAATATTAAAAAATGGTATATACTGTAGATATAAAACTAAAGCATTTAATCATGTGATAGATAATTATTAACTTAAAATAATTACCTTGGTTTCGTCCTTATCTTGATATAAGGATCCGCGGATTCAGATTTCGTAGTGCTATATAACAAAAAATGTAGACTTCTTTAGAAAAAAGATTGTTATTTCTTAATCATAAATAGCTCCTTATTTTGAAACAAGGTTCTAACTTGCAAAAAGCATAATGATTTATTAATTGCTGATGAAATTCAAACCGGTTTGGCTTGTACGGTGAAAATATGTAAAGCAGATC